TTAGTGGCACTGGGATTGCTTAAGTTTTTTCAGTACTTGAATCTGAATTCAAATACTACTACTTGATGTTCCCCTCCCTGACTTTTAAATTTAGTTTTGTTTTTTCTTTAGAAAATGAAAATGAGCTTGTAGTTTACTTTTTTCTTTCAGTATAATTCCTATTTAACCAATCTATCAAGCCATATATCTATAGCTACTAAATGTTAAGGCCGGGGATTTAGCTCAATGGTTCTGCCGCCTGCCTCGCAAGCCATAAGGACCCAAGTTCGATCCCTGGTACCAAAAAAAAAAAAAAAAAATGTTAACTAAGACTACCTCTAGTGGTAGTATTACAAAAGACACTGAGCTTACATTGCCATCCCTTTTATCGTTTTTATTTTGAGATAGGATCTCACTAAGTTGCCCAGGATCAGTTTAAACTTGTGATCCTCCTGCCTCAGCCTCCTGGAGTACTAGGATTACAAAGATGTACCACTAAATTCAGATTAACATATATTTTTAATCATAGGGTACTATGTATGCAGATCTGAATGAAGTAAGGCAAAGCTCCTGGTCCAGGTGTAACTTTTTTTTTTTGGTACCGGGGATTGAACTCAGGTCCTTGCACTTATGCAGCAGGCAGCAGGCAGCAAAACCACTGAGCTAAATCCCCGGCCCTTAGGTATAACTTTTAAGAGCATAAAAAGAGGCCAAGGGTTTAACTCAGTGGCACCGCTCCTGCCTCACAAGCACAAGGTCCTGAGTTTGCACCACACCTGCCTCACAAGTGCAAGGTCCTGAGTTTGATCCCTGGTACAGGGGGAGAAAAAAAAGCATTAAAAAGGGTGGGTATATAGGTCAGGGGTAGAGCATCCCTGGGTTCAGTCCGCAGGTGGGGGCAGAAGCCAGCTATAATTAAAAAAAAAACCTCCGTTGTTGCTTTTTTAGCATTTTAACAACCCCACCTTATTCAGTTAACTTTCTTTTTTTTTTTTTTCTGGTACCAGGGATCGAACTCAGGACCTTGCGCGTGAAAGGCAGGCGGCGGAACCACTGAGCTAAATCCCTGGCCAGTTAACTTTCTTGACCAGATTCCTTTAATTTGGGTTTAGTTCACTAGCCTTTATCTTTGTTTATGTCCATTTTCATCTTTTAAAAATTAAAGGGTGAAGGATCTTGGTATGGTCCTCTTTTTGTTTTTTTAAAAATTTAATTCTGCTTATACAAGTAACTTAGATTTCTCTTGAACAGAGATAAAGGTTTTTTTTCTAAAAAGTCTTTTGTATAGTACCACAAGAGGTAGTCCTAGTTAATATTTAGTAGCTATACGTATGTGTAAATATATATATATAATTTTAATAAACCCAGCAATGTGTCATTTTATAAACCCTTTTTATTTAAAAGTGTGTCATTAACATTTACCATATCAGCAGATCTCTTCACAAAGTTTTCTGTTCTAGGGACCCTTATATATTCTTAAAAATTGAGTTGTTATTTATGTGGCTTTTATCTATTTGGTTAGGTATTAAAACCAAGACATTTTTTAAAAACATTAACTCTAATAAGTATTATGTTCACATTTATGATTGAATTGTTAAAACAAAAAACTTAATTTTCCAAAAAAAGAATTTAATACAAAGAATAGCATTGCTTTACATTTTTGAAACTTTTTAGTATCTATATACTTCAGTATCTCCATACGTTTGTTATAATATGTTGTTCAAATTTGTACATTTTTTTCTGCCTAGATTGCCCTCCCTAGTCTATCTACTCAGTCTCTCATCCAGTTCATACATCATTGCTCCCCTACATGTTAGACAGACCTGATTGCACCTGTGCCCAGCTCTGTATTTCATACCTGCTTGCTGTATTATACTATCTAGGTGTCAGATCATTGAGAGCATTGACAGTGTCTTCGTCTTCCATTTTTATTTACTGGTACTTCTCTTCCTAGTTTCCTGAATGGGTGAACTCTTCTTTATATGCAGTATCAGTTCATTCATTATACAAACTGCTGTTATTTCAGTTGTACCAATTCCATTAGATTTTGTAACTTTTGAAAAGTTTAGGGGGTTCTAGAAATAATAGCAATAATAGGTCTTGTTGTGTGTGTGTGGTACTGGGGATTAAATACAGGACCTTTGCACTGAGCTGCATCCCCTAGCCCTTTTTATTTTTTATTTTGAAACAGAGTCTTGTTAAATTGCTTGGGTTGGCCTCCAACTTTGTATTCTCCTGCCTCATTCTCCCAGAGTGCTGGGATTACAGACGTGTACTCCCATCACACCTCCCTTCAGTTTGGTGACTGTAATCTCAGGTGTTGGGGATCAGGCTACATGATTTGGGTCCCATAGAGTCCAAGTGTGATATAACTTGCTTCAGGAACAGAAAAGTTAATTTAAAAAACCACAGGCTTTCTGGCTGTGTGAGAGAAAACTCATAAGCACAACACTCCTAGGCCAAGATAACTTCTACTGAGGACAATGCATAGAATGTAGGCATCTGAGTAGAGAGAAAGATCTGTTCCCCATTAATTTTGTTCCCCATTACTGATCATTTATTACTCATTACTCATTACTGACAGTCACTATTCCACTAATGGTGCACCCCTCCCCCCATGCTTCTTGCTGCCTAATAAAAGTGGGCCCACTGGAGAGATTGTTGAGTGTCCTCTGTAGGCATATCTCCCTTCAGACTCCCTTGCTTTTTAAAATATTGTTTCTGCCTCTTTTATCCTTCATTGTACGCTTGCCCAAGCAATTGGAGGTCTGTTCAGCCCCCAGTACTCAGGTATTCAAGAGGCTGAGGCAGTAGGATTGCAAATTCAAGGCCAAACTGGGCAAATTGATGAGATTTTGTCTCAAAATAAAATTCAAAGAGGACTGGGAGTGTAATTCAGTGATAAAGTACTTGCTAGCCTGCTCCAAGCCCTGGGTTCAAACTCCAACATGGCAAAGAGGAAATAAAAAAAACTTAAAATTTTAAAAAAGAAGTAAAGATAACAATAGAAGATACCTATCTGGAAGTAGGCCTTACCTTACTTGTTAGAAGGGCCAGGGATTTAGCTCAGTGGTTCTGCTGCCTGCCTCTCAAGCACAAGGTCCCAAGTTCAATCCCCGGTACCCCCCAAAAAAGAAAATCCTTAGACCTTACTTGTTAGATATGCCATGTTCCTCTTTGCTGCACATTAATGAATTGAATCATCTTTATACTTACTATAAAATATTAGAGAATTTTCAGTATCTATTCTCTTATAATATGTTAGGACTATCCTGAGAGACCCACTTGAATTTAGTCCTAATAACTATCATTGACATGATTCTTATATATAAATATTATTAAATATATGTAAATATTACCAAATAAATGGCTCTTTTGGAGGAACTACATTGGTTTAAGGAACAGGAAGGAAAGGACCCAGAACAATCTTGGAGTAAATTAATTGAAGAATTTCTGTCTCACTAGCAGGACCACTTGACTATACCCCTTTTCCCATTTGGAGCATCATGCATACAGAAACAGTATAGTATTTGTTCTCAGAATATAGCATCCAGAATGACCACTGGGACTAGAGAAGCTAGGTAGTGCCCTAAATAGCCTATGGCACACCCTGATCAGCAGCAAGTCTACTCCTTCCCTCCCATCCAGTGACTAGAGACAAGCCATAAGTAGACTGAACAGGCAAGCCAAGAGGAGCACCAATAAGTGTGTTAACGTTCTCATCAAGATTAGTGGGTACAGGGCCAGGGATTTAGCTTAGTGGTGCTACTGCCTGCCTTGCAAGTGCAAGATCCCAAGTTCAATACCCAGTACCAAAAAAAAAAAAAAAAAAGATTACTGGGTACACAAAAAGAAATTACCAAAAACTTTGAAAATGAAAATTAGAACAGTCAAAATAATTAACAGTTTAAATAGACGTAGCTTTTGAAGAGCATATTAGTGAACTAGAAAATGGAGCTGAGAAATTCTCCCCCCAAAACATAATGTAACAAAAAAAGTTGTAGGAGAAAAAATGAGATATGTATGGGAGATCCTAACTTTAATATCCATTTATTTTTATTATTATTATTTTTTTTTTTTTTTGGTACCAGGGATTGAACTCGGGTCCTTGTGCTTGCGCAGCAGGCGGTGAAACCACTGAGCTAAATCCCCAGCCCTTAATATCCATTTATAATAGGTGATCTAGAGAAGAAGAATGGTTGTGAGGAAGCAAATGAGAGAGGTCAGGATGAATAACACAAAACATATTTTTCCATAGCATTTTTAGGACATTTAGTGCAGTGTTGAGTAATAGAGACGATAAGACCCATCTTTGTCCTGCCTTTAAAAATTAGTGGCAATGCTTATGTTTTCTCATGATGAAGGTTGCCATAGAATTTTGATGACTTATCAAGTCAAAGAAGTTTATTCTATTCCTACTAAAAACTAGTAGTTTTGTTGCTTTATGATGTTGGGATGAGTGTTGAATTTTATCATTTTTTTCCACCATACATTGGGGTAATCACGTGATTTTGCTCCTTTAATTGATAAATAACATTACTTTCTTAGCATTAAACCATCCTTGCATTGGTATAAACACTATTTGGTATTGTTATTTACTTCATTTGCTAATATGTGCTTAAATGTTTGTAATTTAAACAGGATCATAGCTCACTTTTTGTGAATATATTTTTACCAAAAGCTAATTATTTAGCTTTTTAAATGTAAAATGACTAACTAGCACATACAGTATTTTCTTTTTGTTGTTATTGTTGTTTTATTTTGTTTTTGAGACTTACTATGTAGCCCAAGCTAGCCTTGAACTCACCGCTGCAAGTGTTCCTCCTGCCTCAGCTTCCTGAGTGCTGGCATTACAGATGTGTGCCACCATGTCCAGCACATATAGTATATTCTAAAATCAGAATGTACTTATATTGATCAGAGAGCTTTGGAGTATGTTCAAGACATATAAAATTTTATAATGTATTCTTTTTTTATGTTACTTTTCACGGTACACTTACTGATATTTTATTTCTCTTTAGGTATGCATAGCTGCTAAATTTATCACTCATGCACCTCCAGGGGAGTTTAATGAAGTATTCAATGGTGAGTAAAGACTAGTGTTCAGTTATTTTAAATCCTAGTTCATTATTGTCATTATTGAGTGCTTGCTACATTTTAATCCCTATGACACGTTATAGCTATAGCTAAGGAAATCAACTTTTACTCGGGACCTTGCACTTGTGAGGCAGGTACAGTGCCACTAAACTAAATCCCCAGCCCAGGAAATCAACATTTAAAGAAGTTGAAAAAAACTTGTTCAGGATTACCCAGCTAGTAAGCATCAGAGTTAGGATTCAGTTCCAAGTTTGAATCAAGAGCAAGCTCTTTCCCTATAAACTAGGATTCCTATATTAGGTAAGAAAAAATTTAAGATAGTTTAATATTAAAAATGTAGAAATAACATTAAATTGCATTTATAATTTTATTTTGGGGGACTTTCTTTTTTTTGAGATTGAATCTCATATTGCCCAGTCTGGTCTCTTAATTCCTGGGCTCAAGTGATCCTCTGACATCAGCCTCCCAAGTAGCTAGGATTACAGGTGTGTACCACTGTACTGACTTACAGTTTTATTTTTGAAATTGTAAGTATAAGTAATAGCTGCAACCTAGCATGGTGGTGCATGCTGTAATCCCAGCACTCTAGGAGGCTGAGGCAAGAAGATCACAAGTTCAAGCCCAGCCTGGGCAACTTAGTGACTTTTCGAGAACCTGTCTCAAAATAAAAATTTTTTAAAAGTCTGAGGACATACTGTGAAGGCTCTGGTTCAATCCCTAGTACTGTACAAAAACAAAAACTTTTCTCAGTGCTTGTCCCATAATATATGACAAGTTTGGGGCTAGTGGGGATGAACTGACTGCTTTTGGGAAGCTTATGTTCCTTTCTTTTTTTTGTTTTTGTTTTTTTTTTTGTTTTTGTTTCTTTTGGTATCAGGGATCGAACTCAGGACCTTGTGCTTGCGAGACAGGCGGCAGAACCACTGAGCTAAATCCCCAGCCCTTATGTTCATTAGATCTGGGGTAGGATTTATTTTTGTTTGTGTGTATATATGTCTGAGCCTCGCCCTGTACTGTAGATTGAATCTAGGGCCTTCGAGCCAACCTATAATCCTCAGCATATTTTTTTAAGGTCATAACATTTTAATTATAAATATCTTAATCTGGTGATTCATTTTTATACCAAATCATCCCTTTTTGGGGGGGGGGGTACCGGGGATCAAACTCGGGACCTTCCGCTTGCAAGGCCAGCAGCGGAACCACTGAGCTAAATCCCTGGCCCCCCAAATCATCATTTTAAGGCAGATAATGCCAGTGTAGTTTTTCAGATTTTACAGATGAGACATAGAGACTTTTCCAAAGCCTTGTTATTGATGCAGCTAACCATATATTTCTCACTTGGACTGGTCAGTGAGCCCATCTCCTTTCCCCCTTTTCTCTCTTTACTGTTTTGGTAGAGTGAGTCAAAAGGGAGAGGTACATGAAGGGTTGTCTTTCTTACATATGAGAGAAAAGGGAGAGAGAAGTAAGGGGAAGGGTCAGTCTGTTGTAAACTATCAGAATTGACAGATGTAGCCAGTTCACTCCTTAGTCATGCCAGCCTCATTACTTTCCAGTGATGAAGAAAAAACAAACAGGAGCTTATGTATTTCAGATTTGGGTTTTCCATGTGCTTCATATGTCGCAGTTCTTCAGCCCATTGCTAATGCTTCTCTTTCATAAGTATTTATTTCTTGATCCGACTGTTCTTGGGAATGTTTTTCTCCCCCCCTCCCTTCCTTTCCTCCTCCCTTCTCCCTAGTTCCCCTTCCCATTTGAACATTTTCCTATTTCACAATATCTGTTACACATTTTGATCTTTATTTCCACTTTTGGTTTCTCACACCAGAGAAACAATGTGATATTTACATGTGTGTGTCCAATTTATTTCACTTAAGAGTATAATCTCAAGGTACATCTGTCTACCTACAAATGTCTCAAGTGTATCCTTCTTTATGGTTGAGTAGTAATCTGTTGTATTTTTTAAAAACACATCTTTATCCATTCATCAGTTGTTGGGCATTTGGGCTGTTTCCAAGATTTAGCTATTACAAAATGTGCTGCTATAAACATGGATGTGCATGTATCACTGTGGTATGATCCTTTTAATTCTTTGGGGAAGATACCAAGAAGGGGGATAGTTAGCTAGGTCGAATGGAACCTCTAGTTTTAGTTTTTTGAGGAATCTCCACACTGATTTCCACAGTGGTTGCACCATTCTGCACTCCCATCAACAGTGGAGAAGGGTTCCTTTTTCCCCACAGCCCCACCAGCATTTGTTATTAGTAGACTTCTTGATAATAGCCATTCTTTCTGGAGTGAAATGGAATCTCAGCATTTTAATTTGCATCTCCAAATATTACCAGTGATGTTGAACATTTTTTCATATATTTATTTGGTCTTTACTAACACTTTTTTTTGAGACAAGGTCTTGCTAATTTGCCCAGGCTAGGCTTAAACTTGCAGTATTCCTGCATGAGACACCAGAGTGCTGTGATTACGGGCATATGCCAAAACACACAGCTTGGTGTGGAGCATAACTGGATAATGTTTTTGTTAGGAAATTCTTTTTTTTTGTTGTTATGAAATTCTTTATAAGGTAGTTCTGAATGAGCCAGTTTTCTTTTTTTCTTTTCTTTTCTTTTTTTTTCCATTAAGTTTATTGGTACATTTTAGGTATACAATACAACGGTTACATTCGTCACTGGGATCTTGTACCTTTACATGAGTGTCTTGGTTCTTATGTTTTCCCCTTCCCCTGCCCTCCCTTCACCCCCTCCACCCTTCCCTATTTGCAAAGAATGTTTCCTTTTTTTTCCTTTTCTCATATTTTTTCTTTTCCCTTCTTTCCTTTCCCCTACCTCTCCCACTTTCCCTACTCCTTTAGACCTTTTCTTCCTATTACACAAAATCAATTATACATTTTTTTAAAAATTAGAATATCAAGATTTAGAGGATATTACCACAGATTTTACAGAATTTAAACAGATATAGAAGCATATTACAAAAATCTTTTTTAAAATAAATTTGACAACTTCTATGAAGTTCCTGGAAGACAAATTAATGAAATTGACTCTGAAACAAATATAAAATTTGACTAGCACCTATTAAAGAAAATATATTCCTAGCTTGAAAACTTACCTATATGACAACAGCAGGCTCCTAAACATTTTACCTGATAAATTATATCAAACAATTAAAGCAGAAAAAAGAAGGAACACTTCTCCCCTCATTTTAGGAACTCAACATTGTGCTAATCCTAA